AAATCTCTTGTAATGTATCTGCAGATTTCAATATCGATTAAAAAAAAATTACAAATTTCAAATAAATAATCAAGATTACAATATCTTTCAACCGATTACAAAACATTTCAGGAGATTTCAGAGTTATTTTAGTAGATTTCAATGATTATTTAAGATTTCAATAGGATTATTCGAAATTAAAAGAAGATTTCAAAATTTNCCCCAATCGCACCATATAGGTTTCTGTCGAGGTTTCTGTGGCATTCTTTGGAAAATGAGGTAGGGGGGGGGGGGCGTTGTACAACGACTACATCGACGAAATTCATTAGCTGATTACATAGATTATAGCGAGGATTACAGATAAGATTACGTAGATTAAAGATAGATTAAATAGGTTACAGATAAGATTACGTAGATTACATAAAGAATCCAGGGCAAACGTACGAAGATTACATCAGCGGATCGCCCCTCGGAATCTCTAATGTATCTTTAATATGCTTATTTATTACTATTAGTTTATAATAGTAATAATAATAATAATAATAATAGTCTTTATTGTTCTATAGCAAACATACATATTACACAAACAAGTTTTCATTAGATATGAACAAAAGGCGAAGTCTAGCCTGCACAAGCAAGGTTGCGCACACTACTCAACATAACCTATTAACTAACATAAATTTCTAAATAATAATTAGTAATGACATTTAACCACAATTAAATAGCAGTATTATTAATAACATTGCCACTCAAATAAAAGTCTTATATTTACTTTTGAATGAATTTTAATATTGCTCTCTTTTATATCTTGATCCAAATTATTATAAACATCGCAGATTTGATAACTAAATGACATCGCTTAAACATCTCAGTATTATGTTGTGGTGGAGTTAGAAGACCCTTATATCTTATATTAATTGTATATACGTCCGTTCTAAATTTGATCTTTCTGTATAAATAAGGTGGTGATTTACTTAAAATAATTGAATGATATAAACAAGCTGCATGGTGTAATTGTCTGTTTTCCATATTAAGCCATTTCACTTCTTGAAGTTTATAGGATATTCTTTGATTTTTCCGAATTTCATAAATAAATCTGAAGCAAGAGTTTTGTAACTTTTGAATTTTACGTTTATGTAATAGTAATACATTGATGCACAGTCCATATAAAACATCAGCAAAATTTAATAGTGATAAAATTAAGCATTCACAAAGCATAACTTTAGTTTCGGTAGACATACAATGTCTATTAGTATATATTGCTCTTAATACGGAGTGTCCTTTTTGTATAGTTTTATCAATAATTACACCAAGACTTTTGACTTATCTGATTTTAGCAAAATGGACCCTTGTATATTAATATCTATTTGATTTTGCACAACTAATCGATGCTTCTTGGGACCAAATATGATGACGTTAGATTTTGAAGTATTGATTAAGAGACAATGGTTTTAGCTTCATTTATAAAATTATTCAAAACATTATTAATACGTGCAGAAGTAATATCTATCTTACTAGGAGAAAATGAATAATATATTTGCGTATCATCCGCATAAAGAAGTATGCTGCTAAACTTTAACGAGTTTATTAAATTATTATAAATGGTAAAAATCAGTGGACCCAGAATTGACCCTTGCAGTACACCTGACTTTAATAACAGAGAATGTGACATATCATTTAATCTGCGATTCTGTATATAATTTTTAAACAACATCAACTCATCATTTGACAAACCTATATATTTAAGGATCGCAAGCAGAATGTCATGATTTATTGTGTCAAAGGCTCTACTGAAATCCAATAAAACTAATATAGAGCAAAGACCTTTATCAGTTGAACTTATAATGTCATCAACAACATGTAAGAGCGCTGTTACACAGCTGTGATCAGCTCTAAATCCGGACTGGATTTCAGGAATTAGTTTATTTGCTTGCAAATGTACCCGTAACTGTATATCCCTTTCGATAACTTTTGATATGGCACAAAGGTCCTTAAATTCCTCAGGATTACTTTTTTTTGGTAGCACAGTTATCACAGCACTCTTCCACAGAGCTGGGAAGACAGATTCAGTAAGACAATAACTAACAATATGTGTTATGTATGGAATTATTTCAGGAATAAATAATTTTAAAAAGGTTAAATTTAAACCATCGCACCCTGTAGCATTTGCGTTAATTTTATGTAATATTTTACTTACATCACATTCTGTGACTGGCTGAAATGTAAAATTCGAATTATTTAAACGGCTATTGTTATATAAATTTAGTACTCGTTCTGGGGTTTCCACAGAAGGAATAGAATTAACAAAAAAATTGTTTATTTTATTTATATCACTTAGATGACCTGGAATGTTACAAGATTTATTTGGTATAAAATTATTTCGTTAATATAACATTATAATCAAAATTTGGCAGTTCTAATAAGATAGAAGGAAAACTCAGAAACATGGACTCAATAAATTTAAGTAAAGGAGTGAAGCAGAATATAGGAACATTATAATATCAGTGAACTATTTGTAATATTTACATGACATAGAGAAAATGCTGGACAGAATTTGTAAGTGAATAAACATTTGTTGAATACGTTAAAAAAACAATATTAAAAGTCAAACGAACGTTAGTGCTAATGAACTTCACTTTTAGTTAGATAAAGATAAAGATTTATTTTTTAAACATTTAATGTATAAAAAATTTAGAATATAAATACCTAATTAACAAGATTTGGTAGTTACTTCTAAATTTTTGAAATCATATTGCTCACAGTGTTTTTCTTTGAGAAACCAAATTTTGTTAATATAGTTTAGTTAATAAATAATTTAATTTTCCAAGGAATTTAAATAATGATTCATTTGATGTATGATGATGTTTAATAATGCTTGATTTTATAATTAACATATGCCTTTTTTTCTTGCTTAATAGCTTGAGTTGTGTAATTACATAAATCCTTGTAGTATTGCCAATGAGCTTCACTTTTAGTTTGTTTAAATCTATTAAAGTCCTTTTTCTTAAGTGATATCATTAATTTAATATTGCCCGTTATCCACGGTGCAGGAGATTTTGTGAATCTTTTTGTGATAATAGGCACATGAATATCAAGCAAATGAGTAAGATTCTGTACTAAAAAAGCAACTTTGTCATCAACATTTCCCGTATCAAAAATATATTATACCACGGAACATTATAAAAGTCTGCAATAAACATATCATACTTAATATTTTTTAAATTCATCATATCTTTATCATACCTCTCATTTAATATGCCTAATGCTCTTTCATAGTTTTCCTTAACTAGTTGAAGTTTATTTATTAAATGTAATGTAAAATTTTATTGATTTAAATGGGTTTATTTTCATCCAAGGAAGCTATCCTTGAAGAAGGTACGTCTTATTCATTTCCGGACATCCTGTATATTTTTCTAAGGCAGTCTTTGTTTCAGGATGCAACTATTAAAAAACAATAACAACAAACTTTCCATATATGTTTTGTGAAATCTAATTCATCAACGTATTAAAAAATAATATTTTTGGTTGCTACGAAAAAAAAATGAAAGGATATTTTGATATTTTCCATTAAAAATAAACAAACAATCAATTACTGCTGCAAATAAGAAATAAGTGGAAAGACAGAAATGTGTACAGAGTTTTTATAAAGTTACAAGCCTTGCGATCGCCGAGCATAGGCAACCAACATTACAAATTACTGGCACCGTCAAAAATCTAAATCTTAACGTCACCCATATTAATCATTCGTTTACTACGAACAGTGAGAAAACATTGCGTCTACCTATGTTCAAGGTAATGCAATAGCTGATTTGTTAAATAAATTTCAGGTAAAGTTACCACAGTCACCAGCCTGTAAAAGCTAATGTTATGTTTTAACGTAATCTCGATCTTGCCGTTTCAATAAGTTTCATTGGCAATGTGAAGAAAATAAAATTACCGTTCCAAAGTTACTGGTCACGGGGCTTATAATCATTTATGAAATCCCCGTTTATATTTCAAAATACATATAGAGGTTGTCCGGATAAAACATGAAGGGTGTTTCCTATTTAATGTTGTTAATAAAACTGTACTACCCCAAACGCGTTGCCTTGGAAATATATTTCACCGGTAGCTTTCTTGGGTTAAAGGAAACCAATTTAGACCAATAATTAACCTTATGTTAGTACGATTTAGCTTTTTTAAGAAGTTATCGGCTGAAACATTTTTGATCTAATTTTTATTTTTAATAATTTGAATATATTTCAATGACTATTTTTGGGTAGTCGATTATAAATATTAACTTATTTCATGTTTGAAATAGGTAGATTGTTAAAAATGTCTTACACATCGTTGTTTTTTATTTTACTGTCGGCAGTTTTTGGAAGAACACAATTAAATTTTACTTTAATTTTGATAAATTTGTTACAAAATGAAATGTTCTTTATGATTCATGATCTGAAAAATTGGCAGGTATACATTGAAATCGAATGGGGGTAAATCAGTCTAAATATTACAAAAAAAAATTCGTTGCAAAGTAATAGTAATGGTCAATTATATTAGTATATATCTCTAAATGCCCCACAGACTGTCAAAAAAAACTTGAAATTGTTCTTTGGTACTACTAATTTTTAAGTAAAAATATAAATTCAAATTCATAGTGGCTTATCTCAAAAAAAGAAAAATATTATTGAAATATCTAGCAACGACACAGTTATCTAAAAAATCTGATTCAAAACATTTTTATTTTTTGTCTTAACAAAATGTTATTGATCTAAATGGGTTTATTTTCGTCCAAGGAAGCTATCCTTGAAGGAGGTATGTCTCATTCACTTTCCTGTATATTTTTCTAAGGCAGTCTCTGTTTCAGGATGCAATTATTAAAAAACAATAAAAACAAACGTAAATTTTATGTTTTGTGGAATTTAATTTTCTTTTTACAAAACATTCTTGAAAAACTATCGTTACAAATCGGTAGTCATAGTAATCCCTCTGCATATTTTACTATATTTAAGAAAATCGTAATTGTAGTAATTTTTTTCCAGATTTCCTCAAGTACTACAGCAGATGCCTCGAGAAAAATTTATTTAGTACCTAGACGGATTACGAACAAATCTCCGGGATGATGCTCTAATGTGACAATAGCAATGACAATCGTGAAGCTACTGAAAAATCTAAGGTTAGTGTTGAAATTTTTGATTGATATATCCATCTGATTGATTAAATATAAACGTAATAAATTTATCCAAAAAGGCCCATTTTGCAGTGATGGAATATTTTGTGTTAGTTGTATTTTCTAGATTTTGGGAATTTTTTATAACTATAGGTAATTTTCCAATTCTTTTAAATTTTTTTTTGTCTTCGAAGTCTTCGTTTTGAAGATACGTGTTGAAGTTTCAATAGTCTAAATATGTTTTGAATAAACAAATATGTATATTCGAGCGCGGTGGTAGCCGAAGCGGCCAAGGCTTGCCTACAGAGGCGAGCCAGGGCTGTGCGCAAAACCGTAGTGGGTTCGAATCCCGCACGCGGCAAGAAAATTCGAAGGAATTTTCCTGTCGTACCATGGATGTTTGTAATTGTTAAGGTGGAGGGTAGTGTAAGTTAGCAGGCAAAAAGGGCCAAGTATGGCCTAATTGCTGGTAAGCTTCATTATCTTTACCTTTACCTTTAATACGTATATTCAAACGGGTAGATTAGAAAAATTGTCTTATAAGCCGCGCAACCGCCGAGCTTAGGCAACCAACATTGCACATTACTGGTACCGTCAAATAAACATCTCTAAATCGTAACGTCTACGTTCGAGATAACGCAATAGCTCATTTGTTGGATAAATCTCGGGTTACACACAAAGTTACACCAATCACCAGCTGCCAAAACCTAATTACTGTTCCATACGAAGTTACTGGTCACGGCACGGGGTCTATAATCATTCATGATCCTCGTTTATAATTTCATAATACATATGGTGGTTGTCCCGATAAAACATGAAGGGTGTTCGTATTTAATTTTGTTAATAAAACTGTACCGCCCCAAACGTTACCTTGGAAATACATATGTTTCATTGGTAGTTTCCTTGGGTTTTAGACCAATTAACCTTAGTACGATTTAGCTTTTTTAAAAAGTTGTCGGCTGAAACATTTTTGATTTAATTTTAATTTTTAATAATTTAAATATATTTCAAGGAATATTTTCGGGGAGTCGATTATGAATATTAACTTATTTCGCATTTAAAATAGGTAAATTTATTAAAAATGTCTTACACATCGTTGTTTTTTGTTTTACTGTCGGAGTTTTTGGATGAACACAATTCAATTTTACTTTTATTTTGATAAATTTATTACAAAATGAAATGTTTCGTATTATTCATGGTCTGAAAAATTAGCAGGTATACATTGAAATACACGGACGGGAGTATATCTGTCTAAATCTTAAAAGCAAAAAAAATTTCGTTACAAAGTAAAAAAGGTAAAAGTAAAGGTGTTAGGGAATTTTTGTCGAAATCATAAAACTGGATTTATCGGTTTTCATATGAAGTCGTCAGCTCTTCATGTGTCCAGTGCAACGTTGTGTTTTCTATCTCTTTTGATCCCGAAGTAGTGGCGTCACCATCAGTGTCGTCGTCGTAGAAATTGATACCTAAAAAAAGAACAAAAATTAGAAAACGGTGACTAGTAAATAAATCTCTAATAATAAATACGTTATTCTTTCTAAAAACAAAGTAAGTGGTGTGGCCCGAATCAGGAACTACTCCGCGGTCGAAATTATAAAGAGTGATTAAGACATAATATAAAAACACTATTACCATAATGCGTATAAAATATAAAATGATTTTTATATGGTTCATCGATAGAATCTATAATCGTCTAGAGACCGAGTTACACTGAACGTCGATCTATATTCTATCTCTGTCTTTTGCACTTGGTAGGGAATAGGGAAATGCTTTTTTAGTGGGTGTAAACGGACTTGATTTAACCCATCCTGAGACACGTCATAGCATAAGCGTAGACGGGGGGCCTAATTCCATGGCTATAATAAATTTATGAATTTAAAAAACACAACTGGTACGTTTTAAAATGCTGCTGTAATAATTAAAATGGATCAAAGTGCCTGTTATAGCAAACCGTAAAAAATATTAGATGTTATGTTTTATTATCTTTTTTCATTATTTTCTATATCTTGTTGCCTTTTACGCAGACACGCCAATGGATTTTCGTTCCTGGCACGCTTCATCCCCCTTACTAGTCCAAAACCTAGCGATGAGTCACTCGCTATAATTTCGACCGTGGAGTGTGCAGCAGCAGACCGTAGAAAAAGGGCAAGTGAGAGATAAATCGGTACAGTGCTGACTTGTATTTAAATAGCAGTGACGACGAATAATCATTTACATATAATTGTTGTTTTTTTTTTGTATTTATTATTATATTTATAAAATAATCTTAATTTTGTGTGTGGGTGTGTGTATATATAAATAGTCCAGTTAGTATAGGTTCGGCCTGTGTCAAACCTTGATAACCCGGAAATAACTACACAGGCCTACTTTAAATGATGAGTACAATAACAGGCTAATTTGCTGACAAAGTATTTTATCAGGAAAAAAGTTATTAACAGTTTAATCATGAAAAATTTTTTTTTAGTAGTTGTCTTTAAATAACTAAGCGGGATGACTTTGTACGAAAAAATGCTTAGGACATGATTTTGTTCGTAATAAAAATAGCTACAAAATGGCGGTGGTCCGATTACGACATTTGCAATAACAAAGCCGTGAGATTGAAAAAATCAAGAAGTCAATTATAATTTGATAAAAATGCAGAATTAAATCGTTTCAAGTTGAAAAATTTTTTTTTATATTATTTTCATCGAAAGGGGTGGTTTTTCCGGGTTGAAATTTTGAGATACATTAAGTTTCATGTTAGATAGGACATGAAATTACTCATACTGCATAAATAAAGATTTGATTACATAAAATGCTTAAATTTGTATTTTTTCTTTTTTTTCCAATAAGGGGTGGTTTTCACCCCTTAAGAACAAAAAGCACACCTAGCGCATATATAAGTTTTGAAGTGGCGGGTAAGATGAGCCAAATTCTAAATTTTGAGAAAAATCGATGCAGTTATAAAAAATTCGGAGGTATTACTATATTTTCAGCTACAGTAACTGAGCTATTTGGTACGCTGATTCATTTAAAAAAAGTCAACGTTTTTCCTAAAAAGTAATAATTTGTAACAGGTTACATACTTAAAGTTAGGTGTTTCTTCTGAATTAAAAAAAAGCTTTTTTAAAAAGATGTACATATTTTATTATTAATTCTTGTAGTTTAACTTTATTTTAATGTTGTTGAGCTAATGTAAATAAATGAAAATGATAATTATTGAAAAATCTTATGATGTGAAGTCGAACAATGCTCTTCGATGCCAGAAATCTAGATATGCAAAATATATCTACACCTCGTAGGTAAATTAATAATTATCTGGAAAAAAATTCAAAATTAAACAGTACATTTGACACTCCCGCTGCCAATATCTCCGAAATGCAGAAATTTATTTTAGTTCTGGAAATTGGGGTTGTTAGGCCCCTCGAATAGCTTCAAATTGTAGTTAGAACTGTTAGTTCAAATCTTTCTGTATAGATGGCGTGGCGATATTAAAAAATTATTTGATCCCTGGAACGTGGAAATGCAGTCCATATATGACAGATCATTAAATTTTGAGTAATTTTTGTAATATAAAGTTTTTCCCAATATTTACTTATTTTCGAGACATGTTGACTTTAATATGCATTGTATGATGTAACAGGAAAATCTATTATTTTATTTAAATCACACCGAGACAAAGTATTCTTTTAAACTATTGTTATAATGGACTTTATTCGCACTACGTACTAACTAACAAGCAATAAAATATAAAAAACAAATGATCAACTACTGAAAAAAAAAATGTGCAATGGTAAATCTTGTAAGGGGCAGAGACCAACCGTATTTTATCAAATATTATTAAAAAATTCAGTCATAGGTGGCTCATGTCATTTGTTTATATTTGTTATAAGATTGTACTTTTTTGTAATTGATCATTCATTTTTTTTTTAATTTATTATTTGTTAGTTAGTATGTGATGTGAATAAAGCCATCATAACAATATTTTTTTAAGGATTAAAAAACACATATAAACACTTTTAGCGTTGTCCTTTTAAAATTTAAGTTTTTCTAAATGTTCTATTTTAGATATAATTTTGTTCTCCACAACCTTCATAAATTATTTATTACAAGCGTCGAGACCAATAATTTTGTTTCCTAAGTTTACATTAAAACACAACATCCTGTTTCACTGCAAACCACTATAAAAATTTTGACTAGGAAATACATCCAGAGACTTACGCGATCTCCTAAATTTGTTTCTAAAATATATTTTTTGCTAATTTTTTTTGAAACGTTTCTGTTTATTATTCATTATGTAAAATGTTCGTTGTCTATTTTTTATAATATCGTTTAAAAATTAGCATCCGGTCAAACTGGATTTTACTCAGTACCAATTGCACTGGTATCATTTTGCTTTTAAATTATGAAAGAATTCGTTATCCATTTCAGGACATTGTACCGTGGCGGAAATCAAGGTCCATACTGTACTGGAGACTGAGGAGGCATCTGCTTGAGGACAGGGTAATCAAGGGCCTCATGGATGCCCAACCCGAGTTGGCGCTGGGCCAGGGCGAGGCCATGCTTAGGAGGTGGTTCATCGAGGACAAGGGCGCCGCAGAGGTAACCAAATCTGTGTTGTACAATAATTTTTTTTTTCTTTCCAACATTCTTTGAGATAAATCTATCGGGGAGTTATCGAAAATACGGTGCGGTTCGGACTGGGTGATTTTTGCTCTATTAGAGATCTTTGAAAAGGTCTGGCGTATATTTTGTTAGTTTTAAGAAAACCAAATTTTCCAATTTTCTGTTATATCTTTTCCTGACGCAATGGCGTTTACCAAAAATAACCGTAAATGACCAAAATATTTAAGATTTGTCGATTTAAAATCGGTATTTACAATTGCCAGTGGTTTACTTTAATTTATTTTTTTTCATCAAAAATAGGCAGTCGTGACAGTTTAGTGTTTAATTGCTTGGGGTGCAGATGGTGCGACGATATGTTCATGGGTTTTACCTTCCTTGCGTAAATGGGTGACATCGCTATCCGCATTGCGTTTTGACTCCATCTGGAGTCTGTAATGATAAAAAAAAAGGAGTAAAATTGACTAAAAACAGAAGACAAACAAACCATCTGCCGGGGTTTTTGTGATCGGAACTTTATTCCATACGCGAAAAGTAGCTCGTATCCACACCAATTTTCAATTTTGACAGAAACCACTTTTTGATGCAATTAGTGGGTGGTCATTTGATTAAAAAAAATGTAAAAAATTGCGTATTTAAGGATTTTCGCGAATAGATTTCGCTTGAGATAACTTTATAACTAATGAATAGACAAAGGATATTTTAATTTTTTTTTAACCTCGAAATATCCCAAAGAAACCCTCAAGTGTTTAAACCGCTGCTGTTTTTCTTTCATTGTGATCCGAATTATTGAAATTGTCACTTGCTAAAAATCAATTAATTAAAGGATACATTTTTCGTGTTTTATTCAATTTTTTTAATTGAATTCTCACAAAGTCCATATTAAATTTCAATTCTTTAAATCTTTAAAAAAAATCTTTAAATCTTTAAATAAACAATTTTTGACCTTCATTTAAGTCTTTCATCAAACAATTTTTTTTTATCAAAAAATGAACTCTCAAAGAGAGTATTTTTAAGTTTTCAATACATTGTTTAGTTTTCCGTACGATCCTTAGTTCCCGAGTAATTTATTATCAAATCCAAACAGGCCATTTTTGCTTTGAACGACGATAACTCGGCGACAAATCATGGTACGAAACTCTTGAATAGTTCAAATTAAAGAATATGAGTCAAACTAAAGGAGCTAATAGGTGGGATTACCAAAAAAAACATTATTGAATTCCCTGGACCTTTTGAAATCGAAGCAAAAATTTTGAAATTTTTTTTCCACTGGATTTCTTATGATTTCTGAAAGGTGGACAACGAAGAAAATTCGTGACTTTTTATCATCATTCCAATCATTTTACGCCAGGTTACAGCATTTTGAAAGTCAAGTAAATGTTTAGAATTTTATTTATATCCCTTAATTTTTGAGCCTACTTCTGTTTAAAAATGGCGACCTTAATAAAATGGAAACGTAATATTTAAAGTTTAAAAATAATCAGAAATTACCTGTCATTTGATCAGCACTATTTTTTCATAGAAATGTGGGTTTTGCCGCCCGATTAATGCTTTTAAAATACACATTTTTGTATCCATATTTATTTCACAGATGTGTCACTTGTGGCAATTTAAATACGTTTCGGATGTATTTCATCCATCATCAAGAGCTTTCTTTTTATGAAAAATTTTGAAGTACAACCACAAGGAAACGAAATAAGAGGTTGGGGTAAAAGTAGCAGATCCGCGGTGTTATAGTCTTTCCGATCTCAATTGAAGACCAAAGATCTAAGCGGTATGTACCAGGTTCATTCGCTGATGCAGCAACTCACGCAGGACGTAGTACTTTAATGACGCAGAAAACAGGTCTGGTCGCCCAGTTAATAATAATAATAATAATAATAATAATTTTATTTCCTCTAAGACAAAATACAAATTTGTATAGGAATTGTCAAAATAATTGCCTTACAAACTAAACCATAAAAAATTTGTCTAAAGTATAATAACAACTTTCGAGTAAAAAACCTTTTAGCACATTTTTAGAAACTTTTAAACTTTTAGCGTGCTTAATATGATCACTTAAATGATTAAAGTTGGAGAATGCGCGCGCGGGCAAACGACGAACAAACGTAGCTGGACTGGGCGATCGGCCATGAATTTCAGTTGTCGACAAATTGCCTAGCAGTGCAGTGCAGCAATGCTGAATTTGGTGCGATTCAGGCAATTTTAATTTATTATAGGCACCTNGGACTGGGCGATCGGCCATGAATTTCAGTTGTCGACAAATTGCCTAGCAGTGCAGTGCAGCAATGCTGAATTTGGTGCGATTCAGGCAATTTTAATTTATTATAGGCACCTTCTATCAATCATTGATATTACAATTGCGAAAGGGAGAAATAAGAGGGATATTTTGTGTACTAATAAATATTATTACAACATGGCATTTTGGAGACCTTTTGAAACGGAACAAAACGAAATTTACCGTCAATATAATAAAATTGTTCGAGGACATAAATAATTAAAATATGTTATTGGCCAAATGAACATACAGGGTGTAAGAAGTTTGACTGCCATTACTTCAGCATGAGATAGTGTAATCACAAATGAACAAAAAAGTTGTATATTACAGGGGCGTAAGATTAACAGTTTTCAAAGTACGGAAAAATGTAAACAACTATTATTGTACAAACATTTAATAAATTTCAAGAAGATCGTTTTCAAGTTTTTAAATAAATAAAATGTATCGGTTTTGTAGTACGAAGATAGTGCTGTGCTTAAATTTTAGCTCGAATTTTAGTAATTATGAATGAAAGAAGTTAAAAAAATGATAAACATGTTATGCACACAGTTATGTCGATATTCCTTAATTAATCGGACTTTCGTACATCAAGTTGGAGATTTTGATAATTTTTTTCTCGGAATGGTTGAGTTTAGGGACCCATGTCANATTTATTTTTGTACTTACCAACTACAGTTTTACAGTCGATGATGTTCCGAATTAAAAAATTCCAAAGTTTTTACAAGTAAACTATACAGTAGGTAGTTTTTAGCCTTGAAAAAGAGTTTTTTTTTCAGTGTTCAGAGTTAAATGGAGGAATAAAATGAAAGGATGAGGAGGAAAAGTTATTCTCACAGAACTTTTGACATACCATTTAATTTTAAGAAAAATTAAAAAATATTAAAATCACATTTCGATAGATACTGAAAATTTCCAATCGCTTTACTAACAATCACATCAATTTGTTATACAACAATAACAATAAATTTAGTCCTTTTAAAGTGAACACAGTCAGTTAAACTAGAAATTTAACATTTAACCTGTTTCCATTAAGTCTTTTTCTTGATGATAAACTTAATAGCTCTGCTTGAGGACCGCGTTGCGTTCAAAGTTTGAATCTTGAAAATAAAAATTATTATTGCAAATTGCAACACTAGGTACACCGCACTCCTGACATTTTTACGTGGTAAATTAATAGTTTAAATTAAACACTACACCATCAACTTATTAAAAACTATTATCGATAACTAACTAATTACTGCAAAATACCCAAACAACTATGAACATTTACTACTTGGAAAAATGCAAAATTACTAGTTAATCCCATGTAAACAAACATAAATCCTTAAAGGTTAGAAATCTTGTAACGTAGTATGATATAAGCCACGCCCATTATTCGTTCATTACTCGACCGTCTTTTTTACGGACCGTGAAAAACAATTACATTTTGATATCAGAATGAAGCGAGGCGAGCGCCATCTGTTACAGAGTGTCCAAAATTGTAAACGTATTTTATTTTCTAACTGCAATCGGGTGTGTAAATAATATTCAGTTTTCCATGTCGGCGAATTCTTACGATTTTCAAATATGACGCATTTAAATATTAAACAATTTCTAGACTTGAATTTTGTTAAGTTACCTTCAGAAAACCTCAAATTTCCTAATGACATATTTTAAATAACCGTTTTGATCTAAAAAAAAAGTTTTTAGCCATAAACAGTTTCTCGAAGAAAATTTTATTTCTCGTAAACTAGCGAATATTTTCTAACCAAATTATGTCATTAGGAGCTCCAACAATTGCTAAACCCTTACAACTTTTCATTTGCAATAAATTTAGTTTCTTTAAATTTATTATCATCTTTGAACTAATTTGTAGGTGGAGCCATCTAGTTTTCCTCTGTCAGAAGTGGCCCAAAAAGTTGAATGTGAACATTTTTTATTAATCGGTTATTGAAAATTTGGGTTTCGCCAATTGTTTTCGTTTCAATTTGTTGAAATTAAAAAAAAATCAATTTCTAAAATACAGGATGATTCAGTCGTAATGTCATTAATTTTAACCGCGTGCTGCAGGGGCGGCGTATTAGAACCGGAGGGCATCGTGGAGATAAAGTTCCGAAAGAAGGACCTCGTCAAGGCGATCCACCGCATCGATCCGGTGGTGAGGGAGCTGGACGACGGGCTGAAGCAGTTCAACAGCTCGCAGCCGAGGGAGCGTTCGGCCAGCGTATCGCAGCAGCAGGTGGAGCGGCAGAAACCGCCGGAGATGCTGGAGATCGAGCAGAAGATCCGGGAGAGGGAGAACTTCCTGATGCCGATGTACCACCAGGTGTCGGTGCATTTCGCGGATCTGCACGACACGCCCGAGCGGATGCTGGAGAAGGGCACGATAAACGTAAGTGCTGTCCGATTTGAAATTTTGTTTTTTCTTTAACCATTTTAAAGGTATTAATCTAATTCGAGGAAAAGAAGTAAATATTTTTGTTGCTCTAACATCCCACTTTGACAAATTCTTAGAAATGGCCACGATAGGAAGATCTTACTATTTCCACATTTTACTTGGAATTGTTTCATAAAATTATGTCCTTTCGTATCGAATCAATAGAAAAAATTGTTTTGAGTTTGCCGTTAAAATACAATAAAAAATATGGCAGATAATAATAGAATACATGTTTTTTTTTAAATAAAAAAAAATTTCATATTTGGTACGCTGCACAGTGGGAAATATTGGACAAAATTCTCGCCACTCGCCAATTTTCATCGTCTCGTCGTGATTTTTTCTTAATAATGTCGTAATTTGAATTTTCATATTCCGGTGAGGTTTTTTAAAAAAACCCTTTTTTGAAAAGTATCTGCCATTAATAAAATTGATTATTATGACCCTTGATGATAATCTGATGTTTTTTCTTCAAAAACC